CCCCCCCCCCCGCAGAGCCTTTTCTAACACAAGCCGACTCTTCAACACATCAGTCACTGAGTTAGTGTTTCTGTCCGCTTGCTTTATGTGATGTGATTTAAAAAAAAAAAAGACTCCGGGCAGGGGTTAGTTTCTCCCGGTGTGGCCTTTGGTCGCAACAAAAATGTTCATAATCTCGTCTCTCCATCCTTAAGGCTTAACCCTATTGTTAAAGCTTTCGATCAGGTAGAAAGTCGATACATTGATACCTAGAAGCTGCCCAGTATTACCTGCAGGTAATACTGGGCAGCTTCCGGTTATCAACCGCGACAGCAATTAACTGCAGCAAACTGAGCACAGATGTAGTGATGGGATCACTTCCTTTAATTAGCTCAAGCGTACTTCTTTTCATTACAAACCCACTCCAAACACTCATTTTGTGAGCAGGAAATGGATTCACAAGGGGTTTCCTCTAGATGTTCATTTGCTCCATAAATTCCTTTTTATTCTTGCTTGTTTGGGTTACTGCACTAGTCCAGCCTGTGTTTTTGAATGGGGGATTTATGTACTTTAATAACCATCTGCTGTTTGTTCTTGCTTCAGGTAGCATAAAGAAATCCATTTCATCATTTATTAATTGGAGGGTGCTGTGAAGCTAAATGTCATTTTCTGGCCCAGTGGGAGAGCCCCCCCCCCCCCCCCCCCTTGCCCTCACTCTAATTGAGATGTTATGGCACTGTGGTTTAACTTTATCCTGTGAGATATTCATCATGGGGATCTAGGCTTAATTCATTAAAGAGTTTTTAATCAAATTGAAATAATCCCCCAACAAACTAGAGCCTTTGAGGAGGAGACTTTTCCTTCAGTTTGACATGAAAATGTATTTTATTTTTCTCCCTTCTCAGTTTGTGAAGTTTGCCAACATAGAAGAGGATACGCCGTCATACCACCGCAGTTATGACTTCTTTGTGTCCCGCTTCAGTGAGATGTGCCACTCTAGCTACGAGGACCCTGACATCCGCACTAAGTGAGTGGACAGATGCTTGATAGCACTAGAGGGAGAATTATTAAGTACTTTCTGTTTTTAGACTGCTCCAGGAAGTCTTTTTTTTTTATAGATTACCACTCCCTCTGGACACTTACATCTTTCTGATCCTGTCTTCTGAAAATAGACAAAGTGATGTCTTTGAACGGTTAAATATAGAGTTGCAGAATTTAAGGGTAACAGCCACACACCGAGGGATCCAAACTAGACAAAAATAAGATTTCCTAAATATAAATCATCCATTTATAGATTCGGTTACCAGTCAAACGATGTCTAGTGCCTGATATCCGCTCTTCTATTTCTGTTACCTCCAAGGATCCGCATGGCAGGTATCAAGGGCCTGCAGGGTGTGGTGAGGAAGACGGTGAACGACGAGCTGCAGGCCAACATCTGGGACCCTCAGCACATGGACAAGATCGTCCCCTCTTTGCTTTTCAACCTGCAGAGCGGAGTGCGCACGGAGAGGTGAGTGTGTTAACAAGGGAAATGTGAACTGATTTGGGTTTATAATATGTTGCTGGTCATCAGACCTGTAAAACACACTGACCTGAGGTGAATACGGCACTGGTGTTAGCGTGTCATCTTCACACATCAGTCACCCTGCAGCCGACCGGTTTAGTCTTACGTTAGGCCATATTTGTCCTGGCAGTCTACTCGGCCATCAGTCATCATCATTGTCACCACGGAGTGAACCCACTGACAGCTCTGCTCCCCTTATGGCCGTCTGTTTGTCAACCTGCAGCATCCAAGGACAAAGACATGGCAAGAACAATTTAAAGATAACGGGGGAGAGCGTGAAGAAAAAGAGTGCAATGGGTGGAGAATAATAACATCACAATTGCATTGAGAGCTAGAGGTTGCCAGAGAGGGAGAGATATGCAGAGTCTGGAGCCTCCCTTTCTTGGCAGTATTCCACATACTGAAATTCACTTTGACGTCAGTGCCGAGATCTGAAGGTTAGGGAAGCAAAAGGGGGAGGGCAGAGAGAAGAACATTTGAAGACTGGGTGGAGTTGGGAGATAATAGAAAGTACAGTGATGGAAATACGAAGCTTATTGAAAAGAGAGCGACAGATCGAGAGACAGACACTCCAGCAGAGAGACACAGTTCCCTCTCAGCTTCCCTTCGCTCCGTGTGTGTTATGAAGCCGGCCCCTGCTGTGCATCCTCACTCATTAGCATCCATAAAATCCACAGCAGTCAGTACAGTCTAATAAAACTCACAGATGGTGCATTTTTCTCTGCATTAATCCCCATGAACGCGTACAAGTTCATTTAAAGATCAAACCAGGCACAGTTTTAGTCGAGCCCTCTGACAGTTGAGACAAATTTCTGTTTTATTTCTGTAGATACTGAAGTACTTCAAGAACAACTGCAAGCATGATTGGCTGGTTTTAATGAGGTGTTAAGGCACCTGCAAAAGCTGAATGTCCCACTAGCATTTTTTCCTCTCGGCACTGCCTCAGCAGAAAATGTTAACAGAAATGATCCTTGCCTTTTTAACATTACCACGCCGCTGACTCAAAATCGCCACCTGTGAATTGTTTGATGAAAGCAGATGAGAGGTCAGATTGCTGCAGCCAAGTAGGCTTTTATGCTGATTTGCTCTCGTTTCCAAATCATTAGACATAGCTGTGCAGAATGAAGTCTACGGTTTTTAGAAGCACTTTGTAAACTGCTTTGTAAACATTATTCGTTACTGCTGAACAAATGCTCAACATTTTAACACCAGCAGCTTATAACTCACCTGCGTTTTCCACATTGGCAGCCCTAACAGAAAATGGCTACATTTAAGATTTTGCCCTTTTAAAGTTAAACCGGTATCTTAATCCTGTATTTATTCTTGCTTCTGCTGTTTTTAATTGCCCCTTAAATGTCAGTTTTTTTTGTGATTTGAGCTAAGTTAGAAAGGCAGGAAGTCCCATTTCCTCCACAGCAGCAAGCAAGATGAAAGAGTGAGGCGGTTAATAAATGATGCCTTCATTGGTGGACCACCCGAGGGTTGTCATGACTAAGATGGAGTTATAGTGAAGGTTTTAACTATGCATGAGAACAAAGACGGGCCGGTGTGAGTGCCCACACATACCAACTTAGACACGGACATGTCTCCTGTTGATGACAACGGATGCGTTCACACATGCCGGCTAACGCAGGCTTCCTCATTTTCACTGTAGACAAACTGCTGAGGGAAGAGTAACCTCGGGCGGGAAGGCTGCAGTGACACGGCCGTCCACAGAGTGTGCAAGAAATCGAATCTTAGTGGAAACGTTAGTGTTATTGAATCATATTCGTTTTACCCTCCTTTCCTTCTCGTCTGCTTCCTCACCTGCATCACTCCCGACCAGCCGCTCCCCCTCTCCGCTGCAGGCGTCGGAGAAGGAGAAGGAGAGTCCGGTGGAGCTGACGGAGCGCTGCTTCAGGGAGCTGCTGGGACGAGCCGCCTACGGCAACATCAAGAATGCCGTCACGCCGGTGTTGATGTGAGACCACCTCTACTAAACTCTTCTATCCTCTTTATGGGATTCCTTCCTTTTATGCATGTGTTGTTTATTTGTCGCATTGACTAAAACGGAAGGAAAGGATGTATGTTAACGCCGTGTTGCTGAATATTTATCTGTGCACTGATTGGCATGAGGGGGCGCGACAAGGTGAATGCAAGGTTACATGGTTGTTCCAGACTAGATGTGAGTGCATGATTTGCAGACAGGATGTTTTTAATTGTATATTACTGCATTTATGTTGAGGTCTGCCTTGCAAGGTTGTAATTCTTGCAGCTTTATCGTGCTTCTGAGGTCATCTTCTGTGATGTTTTGATTTAGCTGTGGATGTCCTCTGTGATCGGTGTTTTATTTGGTCGTCTGTCTCTCTTTTCATCTCACGCTTCCTCCTTCTCTCTCTAGTTTAAATATGTACAGCTCTACTGTTCTCTCTCTTTCTTTTTATCTGTCTCAGCTGTTCCCTGTATATCTCTCTGAGCCCCAGACATCAACTATTCCTTTCCGTATTGAGTTGACTTTTCATTTGTTGTCTTTAGTGTAGCCACCTGTTCTTTGGCCCTCTTGGCTTTGTTCCCTGCACCTCAGCTGATGTAGCAGGCTGACAATATGGTTTAATTTTCCAATAGACGTTAGATTAAAAGCAAATTAGTTTTAGAAATCTGCTGAGCAGTTCTGTGGATAAAATATTTCAGTATTTCTACATGCGCTTGCAGGAATACTGCTTACAGCTAAAAATTTTTAGTTTGGATCCAAGTTTATATGCATAACAAAATGAAAAGCCATCAAAAATACAAAACTTAAGGGACTCGTAAGCCTTTAATGCCTTTATTGATTTTATTTTGTTCTCCAAAATCCATCTCCAACTGTAGTTACCATTTGCTTGTGCAGTTATATATTACATTTTTATTTCTTTTGAAGACTCATCTATCCAATTTCTTTTTTCTCTTAATTTTCTTTAAATTGATCAAATTTTTGCTGAGTGAGACCAGCTCTCGATCATCCATCTCTGTTTCTGACTCCTCCTTCTCTTTCTCTGTGTACTTAAGGATTCAGTAGTAATGATCATGGTTGATGGATGTTATTACTGATTGTTACCATTGATAAGGGGGGTGTGTGTGTGTGTATATATGTTTAGCATTTTCTCTCTATCCCTTGCTGCTTTCCATTATTACTGTGACTCTATTATGACATCTTCTGTATCCTCCTCATCCCTCCCCTCCTGTCTGTGTTCCCTCAGGCACTTGGATAACCACTCTCTATGGGAGGGAAAGACCTTTGCAGTGCGTTGCTTTAAAATTATCATGTACTCCATCCAGGTGAGTGATTTTGGTGCCTACGTATCCACAAACACTTCTTCCTCGCCCCTTTTATTCTGTCTTTTTTATTTTCACCTTGTTGACCATAAATCCAGGTCCAAATAATGACAACCTGAATCATTTTGTGTGATTCACTCAGTACCATGTTTTTTTTTAAATTGTTATTTTAATCTCGTATGGGTGAAACAAGCTCCAGGATTTATGGAGTTTACAGCCAAAAATAGTTTTATAAAATAAACAGAGCTGGACACATAAAGGTAAAGGATAGACGGGACTGTTAAAATAAGTTTAGTGTACATAAATATTATGTAAATATATAAAAAACATGAATGACCAATAATACAATATAATAAATAGTTAATATACAAGTCAAGTGTTCTGTAAATTGCAGTGTTCCCTCTGCTTCTTCATCATCTCCAACAAAACAAAACACATCTTCCAGCATCCCACACACACTGCCTCCAAGATCGTCTGCCTTCCTGCGCCCCGTCTCTGGGATATGAACCTCAGAGCCATTACATGCCGAGCACTCAAAATATCAGATGACACGGATCACTTCACATTATTACCATCTGGTCAGAGACACAGAACACTTGGCAACCTCCTGCCATAGTAGCCCTGAACAATCTACCTCAGCTGGGCTGAATGAGTGCATATATACGTGAAGATTTAGTGTATATCTGAACGGTTTGTATGCCGCTATTTGTATATCTGTATGTTTCTGTGTACTGGCTGTGGAAACGAACATCCCCCTGGGACAAAGAAATCTAATCTAGTCGTCTGCGTCTCCTGGTAATCCCATACAGAGCTGCTGCCGCTCCAACTAAAAGCTCTGCAAAACCTTCTGGTTGTATGAAAAGCGGTGAAATCGTTACTTTTCGAGAGTTTCGAACTTGTAACCAGAGAGCTGAAAACTGAACAAACAAACAAAAACAGAAAAAGCACAACAGAGTGCAACACCGAGGCTGCCATCTTGTATTTTTCTAATCTGGCTTCATTCATTCCTTCTCTCCCTCTCTCCTAGTCCCAGCACTCTCACTTGGTAATCCAGCAGCTCCTCGGTCACCTGGACGCTAACAGCAAGAATTCAGCCACAGTGCGAGCTGGGATAGTGGAGGTTTTGCTGGAGGCAGCCGCCATTGCAGCCAGCGGCTCTGTAGGTGAGGAGATTAACACACTACACACACATATATACATATACACTCTTAAATTACAGGCTGGCGAGTTGTTAGTGGGATCATGCAGTCTGGAGCCCCTGTCGTGTGTGTTAGGGGTGAACTAGTCTTTTGATCGTTCACTTGTTTGTGTTTGCAGGCCCCACCGTGTTGGAGGTGTTTAACACACTGCTGCGGCAGCTCCGCCTGAGTGTGGACTACGAGTTGACCGGCTCCTATGACGGCAGCACCAACATCGGCACAAAGATCATCAAAGCTCACGAGGAGAGGCAGCTGCAGGAGGCTGTCATCAGGACCATTGGTGAGTCTCGTGTGTGTGTGTGTGTGTGTGTGTGTGTGTGTTTGTGTGTCTCTGTGTGATGCTGTCTTGCAAAGCCTCTCTCTCTCACACACACACACAGTTAGTCCGTGATGATTATGTCTGCATCTGTCTGTATTCATGCCTTTGTGTGTACATGTGTGGGTTTTGTACAGACTAGTGCTCATCTTCTTTCTTCCGCACATATCTCCCTTTCTTTTTTTTTTCCTTTGCTCCAAATCCTCCTCCTACCCATCTGATGCTCATCTCTCTTTTCGTCTCTCTCTCTTTCAGGTTCATTTGCCAACACTCTACCGACATACCAGAGGTCAGAGGTCATGCTCTTCATCATGGGCAAGATCCCTGTCCCTGGGATTCACCCAGCTCTGCCCTCCTCAGGCTCTGGGTAAGTTACTCACTGCTCTCATTGTGCTACATATGCACAAAACCGAATGCTGCATGTGCTCATGTAATCCTCTATTTTACTACATTCCGTCCTTCAGTCAACTGTACTTTGATTCTCCAACACTCAGGTTTACAAAGGGTTTTAATTTGTATCTGAATTTGTTTTCATCTCCAGACCTGAGGGTACCAGGATGATTCAGGTCATGTTACTGAAGTCCTTGGTCCAGGTACGTTTTCAGCCTTGCGTTATTAATAATTTAAAATGTCATCGGTTCTTTGTGTGGGTTTTTACACAGCTTTAAAGTGGTTTATATAATAGTGCTACAAGCTGTGTTTATCACTGTTGATAAGAAGTAAATTCAGTCCAGTCCGAGTGACATTTCAGCTGATAGCTGTCGTCTATCAGACTTTATCTCGGCATACAGGCCTCATGTTCCACAAACTGTGTGTGTTTTGGCAGAACTCTAATGGTCTCACAATTCTTTTAACCTCGTCTTTCATTTCCCTGCACAGCTTCACGTTTGTCTCCCCATGAAACCCTCTGATTATGTGTTTTAGAAATGAGTTGTAGCTTGCAGGCTGTAAAATGTGATCGTTAATCTCTCAGGTGACGGCCGGTTTCCAGAACACCAACATGCTGACGGCACTCCCCACCTCTTTCCTGGAGCCGCTGCTTTCCTTCTCTCTGACAGAGGATCCAGAGATTCGGCTGCTGGTGCTCCAGATCCTTCTCAGTCTCATCGACAGGCACGACAACACGCCCAAGTTCTCCGACATAAGGTGCGTGTGTGTGTGTGTGTGTGTGTGTGTGTGTGTGTGTGGGGGAGCGTTGACAGGAAACATGGTGGTTCTGCGTTTGTGTTGTGGGGCTTCATTTGTAGTACGTTGGGAGCAATGGAAGTGCGTTAATCGCTGTGCCTTCTCTCTACGCAGCATCATCTCCGACATCTCTGTGCTCAAACTGAAAGTGGACAAATGTTCCAGACAGGACAACTTATTCATGAAAAAGGTACGCCGTCTGTCCATTTTAGAGCCGAGTTGTGTATCATTTGAATTCAGTATTAAGTTTGATTCCCTGCCAATGAAAACAAAAATATATAAATCAAAAAATCCATTACACATCAAGTATTGTTTCTGACCTTTGAACATACTTGTGATGCAGAAAAAGTAGCCACTTAAACTCTAGAGCGTCCTCTCATCCCACTGACAGCACGGCCAGCAGCTGTATCGACACATCTACTTGGGCTGTAAGGAGCAGAGCAGCGGCCGGCAGCACTACGAGTCGCTCTTCGCTCTGTTGGGTCTTCTCAGCGTGGAGCTGGCTAACGAAGAGGTGGTGGTGGACCTCATTCGCCTGGCGCTTGCTTTGCAGGTACTGATGTGTTGTGTTTTACATCATTTAGATCATTTGAATAATTGTGGCATTTGCTGTCGGTAACCTCCAGACGCAGTTATCTGTCATCAACTTTTTATTGAATATGTGACATGATAATCGTTTTACACAGGATACCATAGACGAGGATTCTTGCACATACAAACTATATTTAAAACAAACTATATACATATATAATATAGGTCTATACACATTCTATCAAAACAAATGTGGACTGGAAAGAAAACCAATGAGCATGTCACAAATAGTGGATGCACACGCTTTATTAATTACAGCTAATGATTTTTATATGATTTTTCTAAAACGATTCAACCATTTTATCGATTTAAGGCTCAAAATCTCCAGATGAGTGATAAAAAACTAACAGTAATTACAGCTTATAAATACCAATATATAACACAAAATTAAGAGGTGGGAACGGTCAAAGAGTCCTAACAAGGCCGAGTGTATTTGAGGAAGTTATTCTACACAAGTTATGGAGAATGTGTGTGCTTGAGTTCCTCATGCAGGGTGTTATACGTTGAAGGGTTCCCTGCTGATGTCTCTCTGTCTCCTTTCAGGACCTGGCTCTGTCCACCGACGAGGCTATGCCCGTTTTCAACCGCTGTGCTGTTCATGCCCTCGCTGCCGCCTACCTCAACCTCATCTGCCAGCTCACCACCGTCCCAGCCTTCTGCCAGCACATACACGAGGTCTGGCCTGGGCTCCTTTGTTTATATATAAGTGTGTGTGTGTGTGTGTGTGTGTACAAGTGAATACCAAGAACCTCTTTTTAATACAGAGCCTTTTCTGTCTGTCCTGCAGGTAATTGAGGTGAGACAGAAAGAAAGTCCCTACCTGTTGCCTGAGGACGTCTTCATTGATAATCCCAAGTATGAACCAGCCACATTTAGTTTTCCTTTCTCCCAAACTATACCATTGCTACATTTGATATTTTTATATTTAATAATGGTTGTCAATTATGTGTGTGTGTGTGTATATCACTACTCCCTCTTTCTTCCCAGGCTGCTTTCTTCACTGGAGAAGGTAGAAGGAGATGTTTTGTTCCTCCAGTCGAAGATCACCGAGGTCCTCGGAGGAAGTGGTTATAACACCGATAGACTGGCTACGCCTTATGTCCCTCAGTATACTGGTAATACAGCTCTTTTGTTCACATCGAGTTCAAAATACAGCTGTGGCAAATGAGAGGAATTCTCAAAGTGAGAAATGTGCTCCTCTCCTCAAATAAATAAATAAGAATAATGTGTATCAGGTTGCCGCGTGTTACAACTTTGTGTTGGTGCTTTATTGATTCCTGTTTGTAAATGCAGAGCTTAACTGCTCCCCTGGAGCCAGCGGGGATTTAGTGTTTCATTGAAAGACACTTCATCAGCGCAGAGCTCTGAGGCTTATCATTGAGTTAAAGGTCAAGCACTCTCTAACTTAGTGTTTGGGAACCTTTATGATGCCGCTTCACCTTTTTATATTAATTGTCAGATCATCAAAGGCTCCGTCTTATTCTATATGGGTTTACTCAGGTTTTACAGACTCAATAAATGCATCAGACGTGATATATATATATATCTATATATATATCTATATATATATCTATATATATATATCTATATATATATATCTATATCTATATATCTATATATATATCTATATCTATATATCTATAGATCTATCTATCGATCGATCGATCGATCGATCGATCTAGATCTAGATCTCATTCATTTAAGTTTTCCGTTTAAGAAAAAGAGAAAACAGGTCTGCGCTCTCTTTCCAGATGAGGACCGTCTGTCCAAGAGAAAGAGCATCGGGGAGACCATCTCACTGCAGGTGGAGGTGGAGTCCAGGAACAGTCCGGAGAAAGAGGAGGTAAAGAGATTTCATGCTCCCGAAATCAAATATACACACTTTAGGCAAGTTTAAAGTACCTTATTGGTGCATCATACACTGTTTTTCTTGTTCTTTTCTACAGAGGACACCAGCAGAGGAGATCACTTTTGAAACCCTGAAAAATGCCATTGGTACGTCCTTTTTAAAGTATTCATGAAATGACATTCTCACCGTGCATCAACACAGCATCACCATGTGTAAAACTTTCTATTGATTTGTATTGATGTTCCTCCTGTGTGGTTGAAACCAGTGGTGGAATGTGACTAAGTAACAATGTTGTTTACTTGAGTATTTCCAATCTATGCTTTACTAAATGTATATGATAACTTAAGTTACTAATTACTTTTCATATTCAAATTAATAATATATATAATTAACTAATATATAAAATGAATAATAATAATACATTTTATTTGTATAGTGCTTTAATACATGTTAAAAACAGGAACAATAGGAGCATTTAAAATATAAACAAGGCAGAGAGATGACATCAGTAAGAAACAAAAACATACATAACTAGCATCACAGGTTAAAAGCAGATTTAAATAGAGTTTTAAGTGCGGTTTTGAAAGTGGCGAGTGACGGAGAATGTCTGAGGTGCTGGGGGAGGGAGTTTCAGAGGGATGGGGCATCAATGGAGAAGACTCTGTCCCCCCCCAGGTCCAATGCTTGGACAGAGTAGGGGGGTAAGGATGTTGGTGTCAGCAGATCTGAGGTCGCGGTTGGGAGCGTGTCGATGCTGGAGGTCTAAAGGGGTTCAGGGTTATGAAGGGTTTGCATGTGATGAGGAGAATCTTGAACTGGATTCTTTGCTGTATGGGGAGCCAGTGGAGGTTTTGAAGGACTGGGGTGACGTGGTCTCTGGTGTGGGAGAGCAGACGGGCAGCTGAGTTTGTTGATGGTTTTGGTGGTTGAGCCGTACAGGATGCTGTTGCAGTAGTCCAGTCGAGAGGTGATGAAGGCGTGGATGAGTGTCTCAGTGGCTGAGGAGGAGAGGGAGGGGCGGAGACGGGCGATGTTTTTCAGATGAAAGAAGGCATTTTTTTGTGACGTGATTGACGTTCGAAGGAGAGGGTTTGATCAAAAATGATTCCAAGGACATGTGTGGAAGCAGGAACAGTGGTGCCATCGATGCAGAGGGAGAAGTTGTGCTGGGATTTGTTTAGTGATTTGGGGACGATGAGGAGGATTTCAGATTTGTCGCTGTTGAGTTTAAGGTCTTTATGTCTTTGAGGCACTTGGTGTCGGTGGAGTGGGTGGTGGGGGTGATGGATTTGGTGGAGATGTAGAGCTGGGTGTCGTCAGCATAGCAGTGGAAATGGAGACTATGGTGGCGTATGATGTCGCCAAGGGGGAGCAGGTACATTACATTACAGTCATTTAGCAGACGCTTTTATCCAAAGCGACTTACAATTCAGATTCTATCACATTACACCGTAGGCACAGCTACAGGAGCAATTTTGGGGTTAAGTGTCTTGCTCAAGGACACATCGACATAAGACCCTCTGATTGAAGGACGGCCCTGCTCTCCACTTAGCCACAGTCGCCCAGGTAGAGGATGAAGAGGAGGGGACCGAGTACTGAACCTTGAGGGACACCTTGAGAGACAAGGGGATGTGTCAGACGTGAATTTATTGATGCTAATGAACTGTTCACGGTCAGAGAGGAGTAATTTGAACCAGGAGAGGGCTGTGTCAGTAATGTGGAGGGAGGACTCAAGAGAGGAGGGGTGGAGGTCGTGGGTGACTTTGATCGGGGCGGTTTCTGTGCTGTGATGAGATCTAAACACGGATTGAAATGGTTCATACAACTTTCCTTTACTGCAGTGAGAAGCACTAACGTGACATTGTCACTTTCAACTTACAATACACTGCAGCACAGAGCGATGTTGAAATGTAAATGTTGTTTGTGTCTCCCTCTAGTGGACAGTGTGGGCATGGAGGAGCAGGAGAGGGAGCGGAGGAGACAAGTGGTGGAGAAGTTTCAGAAGGCCCCCTTCGAGGAGATAGCTGCCCACTGTGGTGCCAGGGTACAACGAGAACACTTTCCTTCTATCTGTATTGTTTATTTTAAACTGTTTTTCTTGCTTCAGCTTTGTACTATTGTCTCATATGATCTGCTTTTGTCCTGTCTAGGCCACACTACTGCAGAGCAAACTAAATCAGATCTTTGAGATTACAATCAGGTAAGAGGTGGTGCTTTGGGATGTCTCGAATGAAATGTGATACTGACTAAGATGATGAAGGTGTTTTGAACTCGCGCTGATGCTGACGGTTTGCTCTTCCCATTCAGACCCCCGCCCAGCCCGTCTGGGACCATTTCGTCAGGTTATGGCCAAAGCCAGAGTCGATCTGTGCCCATCTACGAGATGAAGTTTCCTGACCTCTGTGTGTACTAGATCAGGAAAGCAAAGTCACAGAACTGTTTCCCATTTGAGGGGGTGGGAGGGATTTGGGAGGGGCAACCGATCCTCACTGTTAAGCCATCTTTGATCATGGAGTCAAACAACCACAGGGGAGGAGGAGAAAACCCATAGTTGTTTTGAAGCCAACTCGAGAACAAGCTACTTCTTTATTAACTTAGTTGTCTGAGAATATGTTTCCCTGTGATGGCAGCCAAAAACAAGCCTGCTAATGTCAATACATGCAGTACTAAAGGCAAACTTGTGTTTTCCCCTCAGCTCTCCTTAGATGTCTGTAGAAACTCCACTGGTTGGATTTTCAATTTAGAGATTGCAGAGAACTGTGAGGGGAAAATCTGAGTCACTTCTGTGGCTTGAGAGTGAATTGACTTGTTGCATGCCCTGTAACGTCACCTTTTTGATAGCACTGCAATTATTGGACATTCTTTTGACCCGTTTGTCCCTTACAGGGTGCCATACTATCCTTGATCACAAAATTAAATTTAGTGATACTGATATTTTATACCTTTTTTCTTTTCTTTTCTTTCTATTGTTTTCATGGCCAGGAAGAGCTCATGTGAATTAGATGCATTTTAATTGACCTGATCGTATATTTCTGTGTATGTTTGAATGAAATATGGATAGATTTACAAATATGAAGCTACTCCTTCCCATCGCCCATGTTACTCAGCTCTGAACATCTGTCTTCAGTGTTCAATGCTTTATTTTTTTTTTTTTTTTGTTCAGCCAAAAGTGCTTTTTCTTTCATGACGGGCATTTATTTCCTGCACCTAGTTTTTGTTTTTCTTCTTCTTCTTTTTATTTATCCTAGCCGTGGTTTAAATGAGAGAAAACTGTCTGTGTGCTATCCTCCCAAAGTGAGTGTGCCTTACAGGTGACTCAAGTTAAAAACATACACAAAAACACACACTGCGCCACAGTCATGACCACACTAAACTTCTCAAGTGTTTACTGTGATGTTTACCTGATCAAACATTAGATTATTATGAATCCTTTATTTTTCTCCTTTCCATATAAATGTGTATATACAGAGAAATATATAAATCTTTAAGCTGATGTACAGAGTAGGGAGATTTTTTCCGTGTGTGTGTATATATATACTGTATATTGATTCTAATTGTAGACTGCCACTGCACTAATTGTGTCCATAAGTAAGGAAGAGAGCTACTTAGTTAGTGTTCAGATACGTTTGTTAAATTCTCACATAGATAACCAGCAACACATGAAATCAAAGAGGTGAAACAGCCCACAGTAGAAATCTACATCATCTCCAAATCAGTAGAACGCACGAGTGAAGTCTGAAAGTGTTCCGCTAACGAATCAATGAACCGGAAATAATCAACTTCATTAATGGCCACCAATGTCGGGGACCAGTTTTAGCAGCAGCAGCAGCATCATGAACTGTATTGTTGCCGTTACATTCTCAATCCTGCTGGAATACGTTTGCACTCTGTTTTTACGCCATAACAGCTGCTGCAGCCTCCAAGCAGCGCAACCCGTCTCATTCAGCAAGATTTAAACAAGTCTAAAAGCCATTTCGTGTGCATGTGTGCACATACACACAGGTATAAAAAAAAAAAAAAAACACAAGGTATAATGGCAATAATGTGCCACTAGCCTGGCTAACACAGCTCAACCTTTTGGTAGCAGATCCTTTTTTGTGTTTTTAAATCGTGCACTCTTGTTGCTGTGCTGTGGTGGTCAGTTTTGTGATGTCGTGAAGAGACCGACCCTCCCGCTCCTGCGCTTCTGTGAATTCGCGGCGACGTGAAACGCGTTGCAGCCACCCTTGTTCAATGTAGACGGCAGTGTCTAGTTTGTCCCTGATTGTCATGTGTCACAGTCCAGTTGGTTGTTCATTTTATTATTATTTATTTTACAGTGTAGTGTTGTCTGTTAGTTTATTCACGTCCACACATGCCAGTGTATCAGATCAGTTCACAATTGTGTGTATGTGTATTTGTTCATGCGTCTATATGAACGTTCATGCAGACGTGTGTCTTTATCGTCGTTACCCAAGACCAAACTTTTCAAACGCGGTTTACAGTCTTCGTCCAGTGACTCTTTCCACCACGTTAACAAAGAACGAGCTATCTTAGTGCAATGTGCAGCTGTCTAAACCTTCCAGTTACACCTTGTAAAATTGTCTTTTCAGCATCTTGCAACTTTGCAGGGAAGACCTGTGAATCGACCAGTGTGCTCGTTGTCACTGCATAGCGTAATGTAATATTAACTGACGGTAATTCTATCTTACTTTTTGTCATTACATGTCTGGTTAATAGATCTGTTTACAACGTAGTGCTGTAGGTCAAATCTATTCATTCTGTGAACTTTGCACTTTAAAAACTGGATTACCTAGTGGCAAAGGCAGCTTTTACATGGACAAAATGCCTTATGAGTGTCATACCTGACTTTGCATGCTGGTGATGTTGCCGTGTTGTACAATAAATGTGTCTGTAACCAGAAAATGTCTGATCTGTTTCTGATTTGTTTTCTGGTGAAAGGGAAAGCCTGTTAAAGTGGAATGTGTTTTTCTAAGGTGATCTGCTTAAGATACAGGAAGCTGCAGAGTGCCATCATGCAGCGTATGAACATAACCTTTTGACTGCAAACGCAGATGTCTTGTTAACATTGAGTGCTCCGTCAGTTGCAGTGTTCAACACAGTATTGAGCAATTGCAAAGTTTCTTTAACTGTGCTTGTAGTGCTTTTCTTTTACTTGCCTGTAATGGACTGTTTTGTTTCTGTTGCACTACTTGCATCGGTGCCTGTATTGTGTGTTTGCCATTCTCATGCCTGTCATCTGCTTGGGTGGTTTATCAGAATTAAATTCAACGTGTATTTTAGTGGCGTCTTTTCTCCTACTGTGACGGCGGCGTTCGACAGAATGTAGTATCCAAAAACAACGTAGAACTCATTAGCCTAGAAGCTCTGCTTCATACTTGTGTCCTTTTGAGATACATTTTGTGGTATTAAAATGAACAAACTAGCCTCAAAATTGATAACTTAAAAAAAAGTGAGATATATATATATATATGTATATGTATGTATGTATATGTATATACATGTGTATATACGTGTGTATATACGTGTGTGTATATACGTGTGTATATGTATATACGTGTATACGTGTGTATACGTGTGTGTGTGTATACGTGTGTGTATATATACGTGTGTGTATATATATACGTGTGTGTATATATATACGTGTGTGTGTATACGTGTGTATATACGTGTGTGTATACATGTGTGTGTGTGTATATACGTGTGTATATACATGTGTGTGTGTGTGTATATACGTGTGTATATACGTGTGTGTGTGTGT